TCTTAAAGGCTTGAAGATAAACAAGTGGCCATCTAGCTGAGAAGCAACAAAGCCCACGTGGAAGAAACACACCAGCCTGTGTGATCACACAGTTTTGATCGGATCAGGTATCAGGCATCAAAGAACAAAAAATCATATCAATGTGAATGAGGGGGAGGGCTGAGTGGAGACCCAAAGTCCATCTGTAGACAATTGGACATCCCCTTACAGAACGGTCACAAGGAAGAGATGAACCAGTCAGGGTGCAGTATAGCACCGATGAAACACAACTTTCCTCTAGTTCTTTAATGCTTCCTCCCCCTCACTACCATGATCTCAATTCTACCTTAAAAATCCAGCTAGACCAGAGGATGTACACTGGTACAGATAAGAACTGGAAACACAGGGAATCCAGGACAGATAAACCCCCTCAGGACCAATAGTGAGAGTAGCAATACCAGGAGGGTAAGGATAAGGTGAGGTAGAACGGGGGAACCTATCACAAGGATCTATATATAACCCCCTTACTGGGGGACGGACAACAAAAAAATGGGGAAGGGAGACATTGGACAGTGTAAGACATGACAAAATAATAATTTATAAATTGTCAAGGGCTCATGAGGAAGGGGGGAGCGGGGAGGGAGGGGAAAAATGAGGAGCTGATAGCAAGGGCTCAAGTAGAAAGCAAATGTTTTGAGAATGATGAGGGCAACAAATGTACAAATGTGCTTGACACAATGGATGTATGTATGGATTGGGATAACAGTTGTATGAGCCCCTAATAAAATGTTAGAAAAAAAAAAAAAGAGAGATAGAGGAAAGAACTAGGAGGCAAAGGGCATTTTGAGAGGTCTAAATACAGACATGTACATATGTAAATATATTTATATAGGACGATGGGGAAATAGATCTATGTGCATATATTTATGGGTTTAAGTATTAAGGTAGCAGATGGACACTGGGCCTCTGCTCAAGTACTCCCTCAATGCAAGAAGACTTTGTACTACGAACTGGCATTCCATGATGCTAACCTTCCCGACACGATCTCTGAAGACAAAGTGGGTGCATAAGCAAATGTGGTGAAGAAAGCTGAT